CAAAGATAATCAATTGATGCCCATATGATAGAAAGAAAGATACGCGGATATCCAACGTAAAGTCTGAATGTAGGATCTAAGGTAGCACAGATGAATCAGACTTTTATGCGTGTAACAAACGTAGTGCTTATCAAGGCGTTGGGGTTATGGATATATCGATGGATGTGTGGATGGATGGATGTAGGACCTTCTAGCTATATATAGATAATATGATAGCTCGACTGACTACGGAGTAGATCTATTATCAAATGCAACAAAATGCAAGCATGACTCGGGCCATATATCGTACATAGCTACACCTCACTAAGCCATGGTGGAATAGGGCAAAGCTTACTCCGTAGTGATAATTCCTATTATGGATATCGGGAGGCGGAATACACAGCCTGTCTCCAGATGTCGGCTACTAACCGAGCACCGGGATACAAAAATATGACATCAGATGCTAAACAACAACAAAGCGTGATTTTCCTCACTGGACCCTTCCCGACAAAACGCCGGGTTGGAGTCAGGCATTGTCACCGTGCAATGGGGTAGTTGCGGTTCATGGGGAGGCGGGGTTGTCTATGTGCGAGGTGGCATGCTATACATAAGTACGGAATACTAGTGCAACATATACTGGGTACATAATGTAGACGTCATATAGTTGTTTGTAGGACCACATTGGCTTTGGAAGATAGATTAAATGTCTACGTTGTACGTATGGAGTGCGGAGGAGGTTGTTATGGATCAGGATTTGTTCATCTAATTTCAATGTTGGTTTTAATAAAGTTGTTTATTATTCTCACCAAAATGTTCCCAATATGGAGAAAATGTGAAGATCTGTTATTCTTATAGGAACTCTAAATTGCGGTCTTGGCCTTCCGATGTTGGATTATTAAATCAAACAGTGTTAAGCATAAGACTTATTTTGTTACGCAGACATAAAAGACTAAAGAATAGTTGCATTATCCCACATACAATAATTATACAATATACAATATACAATAAAGCCTGCCGGGCTGACCCGAGAAAATCTGTCCAATCTAGCGTTGCAAAAAAAAAAAAAAACAGCTCACCCAGGTTGATGCCAAGGCAAAAATGGACGGGATGTGGTCTAAGATTTCCCAGTGAGAGGCTAACCAGGGAAGTCTGCAGAGTTTTCACTGTTTTCACTATTTTCTTTTTTTTTTTTTTCGCTCTTTTAGTGGTCTGACATTCGAGTTACTAATAACATTAGTACTTGCAGGTCAGAGTTTTTTTATTATGGGTCTTTGGCCGAACAAGGGATGCCGAGAAGGCAAGCCGAACATGCCATGAAAATCACTGGACGGAAAACGGAATCATGTTGAATTTAAGCATTTCTGAGTATGTCTTCGTGAGGATTGATGATTTCTTATTGAAGTTTAAATATACATAGACATTATATATATTATTATCGTATAAAGTACGGAATCCTCCGTATATGTGTGCTTTCGGCCAGGGTAGCTATCCCGAGTCGGGATGGGCACTCGGCTCGGGATAGACAGCATATTCGGTGTGCCGATTGAGAAAAAGTGGGTACAAAAATCAACAGATCGGAAATCTCTGCGCGCAAGTCGACCGAATCCTCACCGATAGTGGGTCAATGCTATTTTCCACGTCCAACCTGAGTGCTCTCTTATCAGCACATTTCGAATCACTACAATGTGTTCAAAGATAAAAATGGGACTCTCTCCCTCTATGTTTAGAGCTTCTTTTTCTTTGTGCCTGAGTTAGCTATAAACCGCAACAAGTTGTGTTTTTTTTTTTTTTGGAGCTCTCGGGTTTAACTATGATCAGCGCCCCTTTGACCGGGTAGAGAGTAGAGTCCGCGCATTATGACCCACTTGTCTCTTAGTATTAACATTTCTTTTTTGTTTTCCTTTTTTCCTTTTTTTTTTTTTTAAAAAAAAAAAGCCCTGGTTTTCATTTTCTTTGTTAGGAAATCCACCCGGTTTCAGTTGCCTTTCATTCCCGTCTATAGTACTATGTAGGGTAAATTATCATGCACAGTTTTTAACCCATGTATACATGCTCCGGTTCGCCTCTACACTCTGTAAATACGGCACCAGGACCCGATCTGAAGGAGATCACCTGGATATATACGTCACTTTAATAAACATGAGTGATTTATTCTTAGATTATGGCCAGGAACCAGAGCCAAAAGTCTCATGGTCACTGTTACGTCTCCATCTCCACCCCGATTCTGATTCGTGCATTTGCACCGAGGACCCAGATATCTAACTGAATCCCGTATGTTTCTAGAAGGTGGCAAGAAGGTCGGGTGATCCGTTGGTGTTTATGTTTACTATGTACTGTTGACTCTTCATAGATTTATAGATTTATCTACTATTTACTGTTTACGGCTGTATACATGCATTGTATACTCTGTACTACCTGTTTATTTCACATGAACCTTAGACATGCCATGAATGCAATGGTTCTAAGCATGAATGATAGTACAATATAACAGATGTTTTCAGCTCACGTGCATTCCAGGTACCCTAACATTCCCCCGTTCCCTCCACCTTTTCTCCACCAAAAAAAATTGAAAAAAAGAGGAACCCAAACACGGAGTACATGGCGCTAGAGATTGAAAAAGACCAAAAAGAAACTTTTTCGGCCCGTGGAGTGAAATTTTACCACCCTTACAACCCCGTTTCACTCCAGAACTCCATTTAACTCCATTTAACACCCATTTGATAATTAAAAAAAACGTGGGACAATACATAGTAAGATGCGGGCCCCCGTTTTTTGTTGGTCATAGTACATCTCCATACTCCGTATACTCCGTACCCACGGTACCCCAAGGGAAAGGACCACCCCCGAGACTTCCCATACGACTCCAGGACTATTTAGTTCGCCTTCTCCCGGCCTCTCCCCTCCTTTTTCTTTCCCATCTTCTATTTATTTTATCCATTGTGGGTCTGTTAAATATGGGTGTCTCTACCTTTATGGATAAGATCAAGCCTGGGAAGGCCGAATCCCAGTTCTCTTCCCAGGCCGCTACTCCTGCTCGTGCGGACTCGACTACCGTGGAGAAGGACAACCTCACTCTCGATGACAGCCCCGTCAAGTACCTGACCTGGCGGTCCTTCATCCTCGGTCTGTGTGTCTCCATGGGTGGTTTCATTTTCGGATACGCCACTGGTAAGTGTCACACAACCCTCGCCACTATGGATGCAACGTTAATAACAGCCGAACCTCAGGTCAAATCTCGGGTTTCACTACCATGATCGACTTCAAACAACGCTTCGCTGAGTACGATGCCGCCACCGGAGAATATGTTTTCAGCAACGTTCGCAACGGTCTGATTGTCGGCCTGGTACGTTGATGTTTCTAGCTTCCCACAATGCAAGTGATTCCCATACTAAACTCTATTCCAGCTCTCCATCGGAACTATGATTGGTGCCCTGGTGGCTGCCCCCATTGCGGACCGTATTGGCCGCAAGTACTCCATCTCCTTCTGGGCCCTCACCCACATTGTCGGTATCATTGTGCAGATTGCCACCACCGACAAATGGTACCAAATTGCTCTTGGCCGTTGGGTTGCTGGTCTGGGTGTTGGTGCCCTTTCCAGTGTCGTCCCCATGTACCAGTCTGAGTCTGCCCCTCGCCAAGTCCGTGGTGCAATGGTCAGTGCTTTCCAGCTGTTCGTTGCCTTCGGTATCTTCATCTCGTACATTGTCAACTTCGGCACTGAGACCCTCAAGAACGCCGCCTCGTGGCGTATCACCATGGGCATTGGCTTCGCCTGGCCCCTGATTCTTGGTATCGGTACCCTCTTCTTGCCCGAGTCTCCCCGTTTCGCCTACCGCCACGGTCGTACCGAAGAGGCCCACGATGTCATGTGCAAGCTGTACGGCGTCCCCCGCAACCACCGTGTCGTTGCTCAAGAGATGGCCGATATGAAGCAGAAGCTTGAGGAGGAGCTCGCCCACGGCAATGCTCCTTGGCAAGAGGTCTTCACTGGCCCTCGCATGTTGCACCGTATCTTGCTCGGTGTTGCTCTGCAGTCTCTGCAACAGTTGACCGGTGCCAACTTCATCTTCTACTACGGAACCAGTATCTTCCAGGGTATCGGTCTGAGCAACTCTTACGTCACCTCCATCATTCTCGGTGCTGTCAACTTTGGTATGACCCTTCCTGGTCTGTACATCGTCGAGCACTACGGTCGCCGCAAGTGTCTGATGTACGGTGCCGCTTGGATGTTTGTCTGCTTCATGATCTGGGCCTCCGTCGGTCACGAGATCCTGAACGACAACCCCACCTCGCACCCTGCCGGTGTTGCCATGATTGTCTTCACCTGCTTCTTCATTGTCGGCTTCGCTACCACCTGGGGTCCTATTGTCTGGGCTATCTGTGGTGAGATGTACCCCTTCAAGTACCGCGCTGTCTGCATGGGTGTTGCTACCGCCGCCAACTGGACCTGGAACTTCTTGATCTCCTTCTTCACCCCCTTCATCTCCAACACCATCGACTTCCGCTACGGCTACGTCTTTGCCGCCTGCTGCTTCCTCGCCATTCTCGTTGTATTCTTCTTCGTCAACGAGACCCAGGGTCGCACTCTTGAGGAGGTCGACACCATGTACGTCCTTCACGTCAAGCCCTGGAAGTCCTCGAGCTGGGTTCCCCCCGAGGGTATCGTTGCTGACCTGCACGGATCCTCCACCGCGGGCCGCAAGGAGGGTGAGGCTGGCACAAGTGAGCACCAGCACCACGATGAGTCTCAGGAGATTCGCGAGGAGTAATGGCATAATGACTGAAAGGATCGCGCGCATTGCATGTTGCTCGTGTGGCTGCTTTTTTAAGAAAATTCTGTGTTCATAATTAACTCTACTCCTTGATTAGTTTGAGTCTCCACCATATCTCTATGGAGACCATGATTTAATAGCATTACAAGCGAGGCTTGCTTTAGCAATCTTATCTTTTTTTTAATCAAATTGATTCAGATTCTATCCATAGCTCTTCTCATAATCATACCTAATCCGACTCATCCAAGATCATTGATTCCCAAATTCCATCCCAGCACCCTTTCTAACAGCCCCATAAACAGCAGCAACGTCTCCCTTGGCCCCCTTGACCTCCTTTACACTCTCCAGCAACCCATCCATAACCTCGACATTCTTCATGCGCAGTCCTCCCTCTTTCGCAATCCCATAAGCATGCCCCAGATCCTTCCTAGCAAGATCAACTGCAAAAAGTGGCTCCTCCCGGGTACAATAATCCCCACCCACCATCCTCTCCGCATAATTAGCAAACGGCCCTGGCGCAAAAAGCCCAAGCCATTCCTGCAATGGCTCAACTCCAAGCCCAGATGCCTCGGCAGCAACCAGCGCCTCAGCAAGAACACCGACAGTATTAAGAATGAATGTATTACCCAGTACTTTCAATGTGGACGCCCGTCCAACATCTATATCACTTCCACTTCCAGATGAAAGGTCAATCGTTTTCTTAGACACGACACCATCAAAGAACGGTCGCACTTTCTCAATTGCTGCACGCTTTCCGGCCGGAACGACGATAAGTTGTCCCGCATCTGCCATATTCGGCGCCCCGAAGACAGGACATGCGACGAATCCCGCTCCCCGCTCGTTGAAGGCTGCTTCCGTTCGTCGGGATGTATCCGGGTGCACGGTCGAGCAGTCGATGAAAGTCTTGCTGGACAAATCTTGCGGGATTGTGGGGTCCGAGATGATTGCGGTGACGATTGAGTTGAGGGCGGCGTCATCGCCAACGCAGGTGAAGATCACGTCGGATTGGTTTACAGCCTCGGTGAGGGTTGGTACGGCTTTCGCGTTGGTGAGTTTCGAGGCGTGGGCAGTTGCCCGTGCGGCTGTGCGGTTATAGAGGAGAATGGGGCCTGTTTGGGGACCTTTTTGATCGATGTTTTGGCTCATGCCCTGGCATGGTGGGTTAGATTTAAGGTTTTGTTGGAATTGGAGGGCTGTTGGGTGTTGACTTACACGGCCGATGTTGCCGAGGCCTATCCAAGAAACTCTAGGTCCTGTCATGATTGCTTAGTAGATATGGATATGTGTATACAGAAGACTGTAAGATCGTTGGGGAAGTATTGGGCCTTTATAAGTGTGGGGTGTGGGGTAAAACGGTTCAAATATTAGCCGGTGGGCTGTACATAGATACTTGCATATGTACTGGATGTGTACTGATCCGTTCTATTTTACCTTCATCGGCATCTTTCGATGTGAAGTTACAATGTCCTATAGGACCAACCAAAATATGGCCCGTCTTGCAGGCGAAAAAGCCATACCCTCGAGGCCGCACGTTAGTCATACTCCATATTGGACCGCCGTGTTAGCTTTTAAAGGGTTCAGTCCAGATATATACATATATACAAACGTTTCATTGTATCCTAGAAACTAGTCTCTTGGAATCTGCATATCATATCCAACCTAAAGCCTCGACTTCTCAACAATCGCAACATCCTGGAAAGGTAACCCGAGATACATCCACATGAATGCAAACCTATAACAATCAGCACCTATTTATCGTATAGAACTCCTCCCAGACCTACCGATCACTACCGAAAAACGGCTCCTCCTTGCCGTCGGAATTCCGCACCCAAAACCACGGCGCGCCATAGGCCCCCTTATCAAGAGCAGTCTGGGTATTAGCAGTCAAAGCCTGCTTGAATTCCGGGCTTGACGCCGCAGCCAGGATCTCCCTAACCTCCGAGTCGGAGTACCCGTTTTCCTGGAATAGCTCTGCTAACTTCTCTGGCTTGCTGATGTCGATGCCTTTGTAGAACATCCACTCCCACAGCGACAGGAAAGTTGTTTCGTACTTCTCGCGTGGGAAGTGGCCTTTAATGTAGATCATGCATCGTTGGGGCTGGTTCGTTAGTGAGGAAGAAAACGTTTGGAAGGCATGGAGATGATGATACCATGATTGAAAGGATTGGGAAGAACTCGGGTGTTTGGATCTGCGGGACTCCAAAGTATTTACATGCTCGCTCCGAGTCGAATTTGGAGTACGCTGCTTTGGCGGGAAGTGTCCAGGGGGGCTTATTCCCTGTTCAAAATATCAGTGACTCTGATATTAATTGATAACAAGATCCAAATGGTATTTGGATAATTCATACCTGAGCCAACATTAATCCCGCCTAAGAAGACTGGGTGGAATCTGTTTTATTAATACACATTATATCCCATGTAACAACCAGAGATGTCCCTACTCAACCTCGACCCCGTGTGATTCTAGAGCTTTGCGGTTTTTTCGTAGATAAAGTGTCGCATAGTATGAGTATGGCGACACTGTCCAAACAGCAATTAGGAAATGGAATCCATCAATATAGGGGGTGGAGCTGCGGGGTTGCATACCACAGTCAACGTAGGCGTCAATTTTGCCAGGCATGGCGAGTATCGTGAATGTCAATACTCTATTTAATCCCAATGTTACCACTTAGCCCAGTTGAACCAGCGAAGATGGGCGTGATTATAGCGTGGAGGCTGGGGGCCGAGGCGGGGATGGACCGAGGTTCCCCGACGATGATGAGGTGATCATTTTAATTTCAGCCCAAGTTGACAACTATTTGTTACCGACTTATATATTAGGTTTCATTTGGGAAAATAAAATATTAGAAAGCCAATACTGTTGGTTAAATGCATTAAAATTGGGGTATTTAGGACACAAATAACGTATGTGCTAATGATTCTGTATGACATGCCTCTCTATTCAATCCTTCCGACTGATAGCCGATTGTCGAGTATTGATTAGATCCAAGTCATAGGGGTTCTCCTCATATTGCGCTGCAGTCGCAACACTATGCAAAGACCGACCAGATTGCCGAGATGCGCGGGACGCATGACGCGCGATGGTACCGCGAGATGGAACAGTAGACAAAGTATCAGTATCACTCGAGTAAGTATCATCGGCTACCCGAGCCACTGAGTTTGTCTTGTCATCCTTCTCCGAATCAGGCTCTTCGTGGAGGATCGCCTGGTTTTTCTCAGCAAGTCGGCGCATAAAGGCATCCGCCTCTGATGCGTATGTGCACCGCTGTCTGATGCGGGCGCCATACTTGTAGAAGATGAATGGGAAGGGCACACACGCAAGCGCCAAAAAGGCTGGGATTGACGAGGCCCAATGAATGCCCAGGTTATGGTACATGTAGGTTGTGAAAAGTGGGAAGGCCATGGCAAACAGTGAGCGGAGGGCGGAATTTGCGGCGAGCACGGAGGCAGAGAAGATCGTGTATGAGTCTATAAGGTAGTTGAACACACTGAGGAAGACGAGGACCATGCCAAACCCGAAGGGCGCTCCTGCTGCCACCGAGGCCATCCAGTGGATGTTGGGCGAGTTGGTCCAGGCGAACCAGAATAAGCCAATTGGTAGTGCTATACCACCGACCATACTTGGGGGTAGTCTCAGCTCGGGGGCGAGCCGGTCGGTGGTCTGGCTGCACTTTTTGGCGTAGCGGAAATTTTCGGGGAACGTATATACCACGGCCATTACCATACCAACAAGGATTCCGATGAAGGCGAGACCGCCGATGCCTTCGCTCCAGCCGCGGACTTCTTGGAAGACGATTGGGTAGGCGGCGAAGAGCATGTAGAGCGTACCGTAAACAATTGCCAGATAAATGGAGAAAAGTAGCACAATTGGCTCACAGAAGAGCAGGATCCACGGGCGAGAAAGCGCCGTTTTCAACGTCTTGCCCAGAGGGGCTGGACCACGGTCGATGTCGAGCTGACTGCGGAACACTTTCCCAGTTAAGGTAGACATCTTTTCTGCGCGACGGCGCAGTAGAACAGGTGCATATGTCTCAGGTAACAAGAAGATGATACATAGCCAAAGCATACCCGAGAATGCAGCAAGGAGTCCCTCCACCCACCTCCAGCCGGCAGCAGAAGCTAGGAATCCTCCAATGAATGGACCTAGTGTCGGTCCTAGGAAGGGTGCAGCAGCAAAAAGACTAATGGCGATACCACGTTGAGAAGCTGGGAACATATCCGCAATGGTGCCACCTCCATTTCCAAACGGCGAGGATCCAAAGGAGCCCGCCAGGAATCGTAATATAACCAGTGTTTCAATGTTCTTTGCACCCGCCGCGCCGGCATTGAACACAGTGAGAAACATAAAAGAGATGGTAAAGATATGTCTCCGGCCGAAGATCTCACTAAGGGGTGCCCAGATCAAGGGCCCGATAGCAAATCCGAGTACGAACAGGGATACGCCTAGAATGACGATTTCCTGGGAGGCACCGAAGTCCTCTATGATCTGGCTCATTCCGCCTGAGAATGCCGATGAAACCAATGACACTGCGAGAGTCACGAACGATACTAGGAGTGTGATAGACCACTTTTTAACCGGGCGGAAATTCATGGGGTTGCGCGGGTCGGCAGGGATCCAGACGACGGCATATGGATCGTCTTCAGTGCCTGAGCCGGTGTATGAAAATTGCATGACTTCCTCGGTGACGACCCTTTGGTCGAAGATCAGGCGCCAGAAAGGAATTTTGGAAGGCAGCATGGCCTCGGTCCCGTCATTTGAAGCCGTCATCTTGATGGACTGAGGCCAGGCTAGGTATATAGTGATGTGGAGTTGTGATGTATCTATTAAACGGAGATATGATGGCCAAAACAGCAAAATCAACGCGAATATTAAAATGTACGCAGGGGCATACCAGGGATACTTTCAGATTTAATGTATACAGTGGTGCCTTAATGCCTTAATTTAGTGTGGCAGAAAAAGTCAAGATACCTGAATTACAATTACGGAGGTCTACCCCTGGGTGCCTGAACATCCGTCTTAGGCAGTATTTTGCCCTATCAGCGTACTAGTTATTCTGTGCCGAAAGCTTTACAGTACACTGTATTCTGAGATCCGGAAGCGGTCAGGATTAATGCCAATATCAGGCCAAATTAAGGCACTAAGGCATTATAATGCCTTGCATTAGATCCGAAAGTAACCCTGGTATGCCCCTGCGTAGAGAATATTAAAATGTTCAAAACTGAGAACGAGATAAGAAAAGATTACGGATATTCCAATATAACCGAAAGGAGCCTCGGCTCAATAATTGAATGTATATCTCGGCAATCGGCAATTAAATGCCATTGCAAACTTTTTTTGTGGAGTCCAATATGAGCCCCGAAGCAACCTGACTGGCCCAAATGTCGGCCCGAACGCCATGTTTACGGCTTCCCGAAGGCTTCGATGGCTTGGCAGATACAAGGATTTCTACTTTTACCTAGGTATATATTACATGTAGGTAGGTATATATATATGGATTGCATTATAAAAGGACAGGCCTAGGAATGAGTATTGAGTCAACAATATCATGCACAGAAGACAATGCTTTAAACCACCTTCCCAATATTCCTATACTTCATTCCATAATTCCATCCTGTCAAACACCCCCCCAAATCACATTCAGATGGTCTATTGCACATTAAATGAGAAACCGATTGCTGTTCATCTTTTCCAAATATCAACTCGGGGAGGGAGAAACTGTACCTCTAAACCTGTGACATGATGCGTAGGAGGCACGTAAAGAAGTATCTACATACATATACTGGTGATTGGGAGCTACTTATGTGTAGATAATACCTGATACTTACGTACAGCGAGCTCTGATGGCCACTTTATGTCAATATATAGCTCCTTGTGTAACTATTCCATTCATATAAGGATATGTATTGCCATATACAATTATTTTATATACTGCTGAGTACCAAATATATCAACTTGTACTCAAGATACTGAGACTGGAGCACCCCCGATCACTATTGCATTTGTTTGATGGATTTTCTGCTCCTCCTTTGACTGCTCGACAGCTAGCAGTAAACGCGTGGAGCGGATATGAAGTTCTATCCAGTCAACACGGAATCCTCTCCACAGGAGCAATGACTGACCTTGCAAAATCACCTCATACCCAACCCAAGAGTTATCATCCCGATCATCTTGATGTACGAGTACTGGGAAAGACGGGTTCCACGCCTTTGGCCGCACGCGCAATTTTACCCCAACGGTTTTGCTCGTATCCACCCACAGTATATCGTCACCGGAAGACATCTGCGCCTTTTCAGAACCCCCTTCCCAGTCAGTCTCTGTAGTCCTTTTCATCTCCCCACTTTGGTCGCGCAACCACTCCCTCCATAACCGAACAAACCCATCCTCGATAGTCGATGCACTCAACAGCAACAACGTTCCCGGCTTAACTTGTACTAAATTGGCCACCACACATAACTGTGAGAAATCCTCATATCCGTCCAAAGTAACCTCACGTATTACTGCATATTCTTTCTTGCCTTGTTGGCCCGCATTCATGTCAGCCTGTATGAACCCCACCACCTCTGACAACAGAAGCATCCTACCTGGCGAGAGACCGAACTTGGAGCTATATTCCCCCCGTTCTTCTTCTTCTTCTTCTTCTTCTTCTTCGTTGCTTACTTCTGGACGGAAGCGCGAATATAGCCCCGTTACTCTACCAAGCTGGTGGGCGGTATCGACGTTTTCATACAACGAACCCGCGCCATCATGACGCTCACTTAGGCCATCTGTTCCAAGGTATTTGCAGAAGACGTGTGGCTCGGTGAGCTTTGAGATAGGGTGAAAGCATTCCAATAATAATTTGTATTCCTTGAGAGGTATGGTGAGAAGTAGGCGGTAGTGGAGGATTCTTAGAACTAAAGCGTGGAATCGGTGGTTGACTGACGTGAGCGGGAGAAGTGCTCGGGTTGAGAAGTCGGACAGAATTTGGATAAATACCTAAAGATATCATTAGATTCATAGCCTATGATAGTCTGCTCTGTATACATACCTCGTTGGGTAACGAGTCCAAGGTCGCTGCGGGGTTGGCGGGGTTCATAGTGGTTTGATTATTGTGTGTTAATTGAAATGCAACCTGAGAAGAGAAGCCATTGATAATAGTCAGTATACCCCAATAGATAAATTAATACAATAGACATGAAACAACAAGTCTATGTGAGTCGTAGTGTTGCTGTTTTCTATGTTGGATCTATATTGTACATCGATGCACAACTCGTAAGGACGATAAGCAATAAGTGACGTCATACCGATGCGGGCATAAATTTCCTTTTTCAGCCTTTTGGGTCCCAGTCCACTTTCGATCCACTAACAGTCCACTAACAATCCATTACCAGACCACCTAGACACCCATGTGGGACAGCACCCGGGAATTCTCATTTTTTATCCGTTAGTTGCGGCGCTAAATTACCTCTTTTGACTACATTCAGGTCAAACAGCTCCCCCCAAACGTGCGCCTTCCCCGGAAAACTGCGGGATACCGATTCCCTGTATGGCTCACCGAGAGACGGAGGTGATGCCAAGACGATGCTATGCTATTATATATTGTTTCTACAACTTCTACTATACTAGTACATTCGGCGAGATCCGTTGGGACTCCTATAGACATAAATAACACTTGGCCTCGCTTAACAGTTGTAACCTGACACACTCCTACTCCGGAGACCCCGCCTCCCCACTAGACGTTTAACCCCGAGACCCTTCTTAAGCATTTTCGGGGATTTTCTTTTCCTTTCTTTCGTTCTACTCTGTTCAAGGTATTCTTGCGATCATTCCAATATATAGCGCCATGGAAAACGTACTCGACGATATCTCCCACCGGAGATACAACCCCCTTCGTGGCTCCTCCATCTTGGTCTCTCCCCACCGAACCAAGCGGCCCTGGCAGTGAGCAGTCTCGTGACAAAGGCATAGTCAGAAACAACTTTGCTAATCATACAACAATCTAGAGGAGCCCAGGAGAGCCCTTCCAAGACTACCCTACCCAACTATGACCCCAAATGCTACCTCTGCCCCGGGAACGAGCGCGCACAGGGCGATACCAACCCTAATTATGAGAGCACATTCGTATTCGTGAATGATTACAGCGCAGTAAAAGAAGAACAAGCGGCCTATGAGCCGTCAAACGAGGATGGTACGTCCAGCTGCCCAGCCTCTCCGCACCACCCATACCAAGCTCACAAACCACAGAACTCGAATCGCGGTTCCTCAAAGCCGAGCCTGTAACCGGCAAGTGCTACGTGCTCACCTTCTCATCCGCGCACAACCTCACCCTCGCCGACCTGGCGCCTCGCGAAATCGTGCCCGTGATCGACGCCTGGACAGAAATATACACAGCACACTTGTCCCCAACGTCCCCGCTAGCGAAAAACGCACCCGCCACAACACTCCCGCCAACATCCCCCTCAGCAAGCGTTACCAAGCCAAAGGAGCAGTACCGGTACATGCAGATCTTTGAGAACAAGGGTGCGGCGATGGGGTGCTCGAACCCGCACCCGCATGGGCAGGTTTGGACGACCAGCTCCATGCCGGAAGAGCCCGCCGCCGAAATGGATCAGTTGACCAAGTACCGCAAGCAGCACGGCGGTAGCCACCTGCTAGAGGACTATGCAGCGCTGGAGAGCCGCAAGCAGGAGCGCGTTGTCTTTGAGAACGAGGCGTTCCTGGTTGTCTGTCCTTGGTGGGCGACATGGCCATTTGAAACGATGATTGTTAGCCGCACGCACAAGCGCGCGCTGGTGGATTTGTCAGAGGCCGATAAAATGCTTCTTGCTGAGGCGATCGCGGAGACTACCCGTCGCTATGATAATCTCTTCGAGACGCACTTCCCTTACAGCATGGGCATTCATCAGGCGCCACTGGATGGCACCGAGGAGGAGATTGAGGCATCTTACCTGCACTTGCACTTCTATCCTCCCCTGCTGCGAAGCGCTACCGTGCGCAAGTTCTTGGTTGGCTATGAGCTTATGGCAGAGCCTCAACGTGATATCACTCCCGAACAAGCTGCTGCCAAGCTGCGGGCTTGCGGTGGCGAGCTGTACAGGAAGAAGATCGATTCGTAATGTATCTCGGAATTAAAAGAAAAGAAAAGAAACGACAGTGATGAAGTCTGGACAGGGTTATACCAGAGTTGAAGACATTTTCTCCTATATGCGTATATATTATTTCCCCTACAAAAGCTTTTGTGCCGAAGCGTTAAGTTATACATAGGTGGTCCAACATGTAATGCTCAGTTCCTCCATGACTATCTGTGCCATGTGTTGTGCTGCGTTGGACTATTTCCAGAAGCCATCCTCCTTTCCAGAACCACGGATTTAACTCAGGTACGCCTCGCGCTGGGTCAACATCCAAGCCAGCGAACCCGACGCAACAATCAAAGGGCTCAAGAACCGGCCCTTGAGCGACGCATTTCCGAAGACAAGCTCGCCAACAAAGTGTGACAGCGCAATGCCGTACGTCCACATGCCAAGGTCGTATGCGACAGAGTTTGTAATGTTGTAAGCAGCGGTCATGCGAATGACTGCAGAGAGGAAGGTCCAGGTTCCGAAGATGCGGCCGGAGAGCGGAGCTGCGGGGACCTTGCCATTACTGTAGAGTAGGGAGGTGTATTCTGGCGCAGAGTAGGCTTGCAGGCTGTTAAGAGCGGAGACGACCGAAACCTATATAGAGAGGTGATTAGTTCAGGTTGGGATTGGTATCTAGGGGTTAGGAGTGGCAGAGGTAATGGGATTGGAGAGGGACACAGAACTTACAAAGAAAAGCCATTTGGGCAGAAAGCCCTCGGATTGGGGGAGATAGGCGAGGTATTGGTCCATTTTTGAGTGAGTATGTTGTTGTTCTTTGCTTGAAAGGAGATTGGGGCTTGTTTTTCTGACCTTGAGAGGCCGAGGATGTTCGGGGGAGTCTTGGCATTGATCTTCCCCAACAACCTTGGAAACCTCGCATCGGTTTGCTCAACTTTTTTTTACCTTCTATCAACTTCGCGTTATTCACGTTTTCTTTACTCATTATGGATCTCTCGAAGCATATTGGGTGTCTTTCCCAGTGGCCAGCCCACATTACTCCTGGCTTACCTACCTATGGCGCCCTGTTCCTCCTAGCGACTGGTGGCCTGGTCATTGCCTGCAAGGTCTGGACGTTCGTGCGGGTGCTTCTCAGCCTGTTCGTGCTTCCGGGTAAACCGGTAAGAAATTCAACATTCAATCCTTCAAATTTAGTTGAATGAAACTGATTAAAATGATTTAAAAAGCTTCACTCATTCGGTCCCCCCGGTAGCTGGGCCGTGGTAACGGGCGCCTCAGACGGTCTGGGCAAAGAATTCGCGCTGCAATTGGCCAAGTCGAAGTTCAACATTGTGCTCGTATCACGAACAGCCTCGAAGCTTGCAACCCTGTCAGAGGATATCAGCAAGCAGTTCCCGCAGGTGCAGACCAAGACACTCGCAATGGATTTCTCACGCAACGCCGATGCCGACTACCAAGCGCTGGGTGAACTGGTCTCTGATCTGGACGTGTCCATACTAGTCAACAACGTTGGCCTGAGCCACTCGATCCCCGTTCCGTTTGCGCAGACACCCGCCGCAGAGATGGCCGATATTGTGACCATCAACTGCACCGGCACGCTGCGCGTCACCCAGCTTGTCGTTCCGGGCATGATGCAGCGCCGCCGCGGTCTGATTCTGACCATGGGCTCCTTCGGCGGTCTCCTACCCACCCCATTCCTCGCCACTTACTCCGGCAGCAAGGCATTCCTTCAGCATTGGTCTACTGCTCTTGGCGGCGAGTTGGCCCCTTACGGCATTGATGTGGAACTTGTCCAAGCCTACCTGATTACGTCTGCCATGTCCAAGATCCGTCGTGCCTCGGCTTCTATCCCTACCCCGCGCGCTTTTGTTCGTTCCGTTCTCTCGAAGATCGGCCGCAGTGGTGGATCGCCTACCTACGCTTACAGCTCGTCGCCCTACTGGAGTCATGGTATCATGGCCTGGTTCTTGACTTCTGTTTCTGGAACTATGGGCAAGCTTGTTCTCGGGCAGAACAAGTCTATGCATGAGAGCATTCGGAAGCGCGCTCTCAGAAAGGCTGAGCGTGAAAATGCTAAGAAGAGCACTTGATTTACCTGATTTGCTGTTGTTGTCGAGTATAGGGGGCGTACGACGAGAGTTATACTTTTCTCAGACATGATACATATATCATTCGAAATGCATGATGGGTTCGAATAGGTGTATAAACGAGAAACAAAAAATCACAATCATCACAGTAAGAGGAATAATATCAGTTACATCTCAGTAGTAGCGACTTATAGCCCTGGAGGTATATCACATCCTATAAACCCGAAATAGTCGAGTTCTTATCGATAAGCTCTTATCACCCCGCTTCCAGCCTTAGAACCTTCCAGGGTTGGAAGCTCTGGAAGTTTTCTTATCGTGGATAGATCTCATGTATCATCTATAATGATAGGCTCGAAACTGCACATGTTACGGACTGACTAACTTGACGCATTCGGGTGCTCTATATCTAAAGTCGTCATGTCTCAAATGACCCACGGCAGTGGCGATGATGCCCTGAACAAAAGTTCCACAGAATCACAGACACCCATGTGTGACAATCGCATTCACCTCCTTCTTGCTGCAACTGGCTCAGTCGCGACTATCAAAATACCCAATATCATCAGCGCCCTCTCCCATCATATCCACAGGCTCTCGATAAGGGTAATCCTCACGACCAAAGCCAAGCAATTCCTAGCCGGTCAGTCCGCCGAGCAGCCCACCGTCTCGTCCCTCATTTCCCTCCCTGGAGTGGAAGCCGTCTACGATGATGAGGCGGAATGGGGACCTGAGCCTTGGCGCCGTGGTGTTGATATCTTGCACATCTCTCTCCGACGCTGGGCAGATATCCTTGTCATTGCCCCTCTTTCCGCAAATACCCTAGCCAAGCTCGCCAACGGACTTAGCGATAACTTATTGACCTCCGTATGTCGGGCTTGGGATACCGATGGCAATGTTGATGGGAAACGAAAACGGATTGTAGTTGCACCAGCCAT